GGGGTTGCTCATCGCCTGGTTCCAGCAGATCCGCGCCGCTGGCCTGCCGGTCAAGGGCATCATCCTCAAGGAGAAGGCGCTGCGTATAGCCGAGGAGCTGGGCATGGACGACTTCACCGCTTCCAACGGCTGGCTGGACCGCTTCCGCCGGCGCCACGGTGTGGTGTCCTGCAGTGGCGTGGCCCGCGCCCGGTCGCGAAACTCTGCCCCCCGGACCCCAGCGGCGCCTGCTAGCCCGGCCGCGGTGCCCTCAGAGGGCAGCGGCGGGGGTATGACGGGCTGGCATGCTCAAGAGGAGCAGCCACCGTCGGTGGCCGAGGGCTATGCCTCGCAGGACGTGTTCAGCGCGACTGAGACCAGTCTATGGTACGACTTCCTGCCCGACCAGGCCGCGGGGCTGTTCGGAGGCGAAGGACGGCCGCGCCAAGCCACCCAGCGCCTGAGCGTCCTGCTGTGCGCCAACGCCGATGGCAGCGAAAAGCTGCCCCCGCTGGTGGCCGGCAAGTCTGCGAAGCCCCGTGCAGGCCAAGCCGGCCTGCCCTGCGACTACACCGCCAACTCTAAGGGTGGTGTCACCACCCAGGCCCTGGCCAAGTACTTGAAGGCCCTGGACACCCGAATGGCCGCAGAGTCTCGACGGGTCTTGTTGCTGGCTGGCCGCTTGGCTGTCCAGTCCCTGGACACGTCCGGCCTGCGGCATGTGCAGCTGGCCTTCTTCCCACCGGGCACCGTGCATCCGCTGGAGCGGGGAGTGGTCCAACAGGTGAAGGGCCACTACCGCCAGGCTATGCTGCTCAAGGCCATGACCGCCCTAGAGAGCCAGGATCACTCAGGCCTGCAGCTGGGCCTCATGGAGGCCCTGCACTTCGTGGCTGCGGCCTGGCAGGCAGTGGAGCCTTCGGACATAGCCGCCTGCTTTCGTGAGGCTGGCTTTGGAGGTGGCCCTAATGCCACCATCACCACTTCCCTCAAGAGTGAGGGGGAGGAAGAGGAGGAGGATGAGGAAGGAGAAGAGGAGGAGGAAGAAGAGGAGGGTGAAGGAGAGGAGGAGGAGGAGGAAGGCCAGGAGGAAGAGGAGGAGGAGGAAGGGGGGGAAGGAGAGGAGTTGGGGGAGGAAGAGGAGGTGGAGGAAGAGGGTGATGTTGATGACAGTGATGAAGATGACGAGGAAGAGGAGGAGGAGAGCTCCTCTGAGGGCTTGGAGGCTGAGGACTGGGCCCAGGGAGTAGTGGAAGCTGGTGGCAGCTTTGGGGGTTACGGTGCCCAGGAGGAGGCCCAGTGCCCTACTCTCCATTTCCTGGAAGGTGGGGAGGACTCCGAGTCGGACAGTGAGGACGAGGAGGATGATGAAGAGGAGGATGAGGAAGATGACGATGAAGATGATGAGGAGGATGGTGATGAGGTGCCTGTACCCAGCTTCGGGGAGGCCATGGCTTACTTTGCCATGGTCAAGAGGTATCTGACCTCCTTCCCCATTGACGACCGTGTGCAGAGCCACATCCTCCACTTGGAACATGATCTGGTCCACGTGACTAGGAAGAACCATGCCAGGCAGGCAGGAGTTCGGGGTCTTGGACATCAAAGCTGAGTCACCGGGCCTAGCCATGCCCCCAACCCAGATTGGCGGCAGCAGCCCAGGGCAGAGGACTCTCTGGGCACTCGCTATGGATGGAGCCAGAGTATGGAGCCCCAGATCCTTTAGCAATGCTTCCCATGGCCCTGGGGCAGGCCCAGTCTCCTCGGTCGGGCCCGAGGCTGAGGTCAGCCTCACTGCCTGCTTATTGCCTCTTTCTCAGAGTCCTCTTTCCTCCCCATTTGCCCCTGGGCTCCGGGGAGCCGCTGGGGTGGGTGGGGAGCTGTCCGGTGCTACTACACCGTGCCCTCAGTGGACTAACCACAGCAGAAGCCAGGGATGGGCCCTGGAAGCTCCTGGCCGGAGAGTGCCTCTCCCCTCTGCCGTCCACACCAGGTCTTTGGTCGGGGGGACCCCAAAGCCATTCTGGGAAGGACTCCAGAGGAAGGTCCAGCCTAGGCCCCTGAAAGGCTGGCAGCCACCACCCCAACCCCTGGGCCGCCTTGAGAAGCACAGTCTAACCATGGGCTCCTGAGCCCGCCTCTGCCTGCTTTCCACCTCCCCAGTTCCTTTCTCTGGCCCAGTCCATGTGACTTTGGCCCTTGGTTTTCTTTCCAGATTGGAGATTTCCAAGAGGTCCTCCAGGGGAGTGACAGTGGGTGCTTCCCTGGTGAGCGGCTGCAGGCCCCATGCCTCTCCCTCTCTGGCAGGGTGCCATCCTGGGCAGAGGGGCCTGGGGCTGGGCCCAGAGTCCAGCCATCCAGCTGCTCCTTTCCCAGTTTGAATTCAATAAATCTGTCCACTTCCCTTTTGTGGGGGTGAACATTTTAACAGCCAAGGGTGCATCCTTCATGGTCTGGGCTTGCGTCTGTCTTGGGGGACACATTCTTTCCCAATTCCCTTTGGTCCTTGTTGTGGTGGTACATGGAAGCAAATATTAAGGGGGCAGGGGGAGCTCTCAACACCCATATCTAAATGTTATCAAAGCTTGGTGAGGAAGGTGACTTCAGTGTACCTGCCTGGGGGCCGGTTAGAGGAAACCCAGCCTTGCTCTGCTTTGGAGTTAGAGAGAAGCTTGGGGTCACTTAGCTGGGACGGGAGGGAGGGAGCCAACAATCTCTTTTGGACCAAATCAAACAATATGCACCTGAGGACTAGGCCTACCAAGGCTGGTTTTAAAAGATCCTTGCAGGTGTGGGGCCGGGACAGAGAGGGGTATTTTTGTCCTGGAGGACAGAAGGGGCAGCTCCTGGGGTTCAGGTTAGAGTTTGGAGGGGCATATGGGACACTCTGTGGTTTACCTTTGGTGCCTTAAGAGGGAGCCGTTTAGGCCTTTCAGTGCTTGGCATCTCCAAGCCTGGTGGCCACCCCTGGAGGCAGTGGTAGGAGGAAGGTGAAATTGCTGGGAACTGGTTGCACCCCCAAGAGGCTAGGGATCAGTTGGTAACTCCCTGTGCTGTGCCTTCCATGGGGGGTTCCCCCAGTCCAAAGGTGAGGACAGGCCTCTTTGCTGATCCTACCCTTTTTCTCCTTTCGCGGCCTAGCCCTTCCCTCTCTAACCCTTCCTTACTGGGGCCCTTAGGCCATAATAGTTCCAGCCAGGGGAGGGCCTGGGCCTGAGCAGAGCTGGCAGCTCTGGGCCCCAAACCGGTTTTCCCACCTCGCCTGGCGCTGGCACATCACCTCTGTGGTTCCCTCCCAACCCCCCCACCCCCACCCTTTGCCACCACGTTTCTCCTCTCCCAACTCTGGAATGTTAAGTGGGGAATACCCAGGTCATCTTTTGTCCCTTGCCTGCCCTGGGTGTAGTCTCTTCTAGAAAGGTAAGGCCACTGTGCATGACTTTAGAACAAGATGGGGTGATTTCCACGCTTGGCCTTCTGCACTTCTGTCATTCAGGGATCCCCTCCAGGCCTTGAAGGTTTTGAAACTAAAAGACAACAAAAAGTAGTTGGAACTCCTCTTGCCATCAACACTCCTTCCCCAGTCTGAGCCCTGGAGGAGGAGACCAGAAAGCTGTAAGAAAGTCCAACCTACCTCTGGATTGCCCTGGAGTGAGAAGGAGGAAGCAGTGGCCACCACCCCCAGGTGCTCCAGGCCAGCCCAGGTCCCTGCCTCAAGTTCCAACAAGGCAAATTACTTGCATTTGTCTTCTGCCAAGGGAACGCCTCTTTTGCCAGAACTGAGATTGTCTCATTAATGATAACACCAGCTTATGTTAATAGGGCCCTTGCTGTGTGCCAGGCTCTGTGCTAAACACTTTTAGATGCTCACAAAACCACTGTGAGGTAGATAAAACCATGAGAAATGGGCACAGAGAGGTCTGGTTATATGCCCAAAGCCACACCATTAGTCTGTGGTGGAAGCAAGCTTTCTCCCCAGGCTGGCTCTAAAAGTACACCTTTACAAAGGGGGTACCATATTCCTAACTCTCCTAAGGGTAGTGCTGGTTTGAAATGGAACTGAGTACTAAAATCAAATTCTAATCTGTGGAAGAATAGCTCCTTGGGGAGAGATGCAGCATGTGGAGTTGTCTACAGGAGTTCTTGCTGCTTCTGTACCTAGACCCACTTCCATTCCCCCAGTTCCCATATAAATACAGGTGTTCTGTAAATATTAACATTTTCCTCATTTGTAAAGCTCTTTCCCATTACTCTATTGGGACAAGTAGGTCTGAGAACCATTCCCAGTTCACAAAGGAGAAAATAGAGCTAAGAAATGAAATGACCTGCACAAGGTACTGGCCTTGAACTCTGGTGTTCTCCCTGGGAGTCTGGGTTACATATTAAAAGCCCCACCAGGACACTGCTGGGAAGGGGGAGTGGCAATGGCCCTACGAGCACAAGCTTTGGTGAGGGACCCAGCAAGGAATCACCGTCACAGAGACTGTCACACAGTCCAGATGGGTAGCAGATCATTAACAACGGACCCCCAAAAAAGCTGACAAAACATTGAGGTGCTGCCTTTGTTTGGGACTGACAGCTGAAGGGCCCAGAAGATGGAAGGACCCCATCCCTGGGGATGCTGGCGCAGGAGTTCTGGGGTCCTGACTGACTTTGGCAGGTTCCACAGTGGGTCAGTGGCTGGTCAGCAGGTGGCGTGGGTGCAGAAGTAATGCTTTCTTGGGGAGGAGGAGGAGAAAGCAAGGACACCTAACCGCCTTTTCCAAGCTGGTGCCTGATGGGAGGTAGCGAGGGAAAAAAGACCTACAATTCCCAGAATGCCCTGCTCCCAGGCCAGTAGAGGATGGTTGCCATGGTTTCAGGAAACAATATGGCCGCTCCCAGCGGGGACGTGAGTCTCTGGGTTGGGGAGGCAGAAGCGGGTCTGGGCTACTGTAGTAGCTACAGAGGAGGTGCTTGAGGGGTCGTGAGGCTGAGGCTGGACCCTACACGGCTGGATCGGTTTAGGTTTGAGGAGGGTGCCGATGGCGAGCAGCGTGGACGAGGAGGCGCTGCACCAGCTCTACCTGTGGGTAGACAACATCCCTCTGTCCCGGCCCAAGCGAAACCTCTCCCGGGACTTCAGTGACGGAGGTGTGCGCCCCTGTGTGTCTACATGTTCTGTCCTGTATGTACGTGTGTAATGGGTCTGTGTGCATACTGTCTCTTTGTGCATGTGTGCGCGGAGGGGGAGAGGGGTTTGGGGAGGCTCTGTCTCCTGGGACTTCAATTGTAGAACTGTGTGCTTGTGTGTGTTTTCTATTTGCACCCGTGTGTGAACAATGCATGTCCATATGTATGTCTACATGTTCTATCCTGTGTGCATGTGGGGTATGTGTCTCTCTGGAGGGATCCAGGGAATTTAATGACTTGACTAAAATATGTGTCTGCATAAGTATTTGTGTATTTCTGTATGTGCTCACTTACGGCTGTGTGTTCTATATGTCTGTCTTGTGGGAGTCTGAGCATGTGTGTGTCATATGGGTGTTGACATGTTGTCTTGTATGTATCTGGGGAGGTCTTGTATGCATATGTGTTTCTTTGTGATTATGTGTTTATGTGTCTGTGTTTCTAGGACTGTCTCCTGGGTTTTCACTGACAGAAGTATGTATCTCTGTATGTGTATATTTGGGGAGGCTATGTGCACATGTGACTCTCCATGCTTATGTGTGTGTGTTCTACATGTGTGCCTATGTATTTGTTCTCCTATGTATTTGTTCTGTGTGTCTACACATTCTGACCTATGTGTTTATCTGTAGGGGGATCTTATCACATGTGTCTCTGCTTGTGTGAGTCTGTGACTTTGGTGTTGGAGTATGTGTGTGTGTGTGCGTGTGCACACACATGTGTGTGCATGTGCATCCATGTGAATTCCTAGGGGGGAGCCCTGGGCTCCTGAAAGTCTCTCTTGGAGACTCATTCTCTGCTGGAGGATCAGAGATCTCAGTTTTCCCATGCCCTGAGTTACTGGGCAAGGGATGCAGCTCCTCTGAGGTATGCTGGAGACTTAGTCTCCTCTACCTGATCATTGATCTCAATTTCTGCTGGGTTCCAACACTTTGCCACGCCCGATTCTCCCACCCCACCCCTCTTCTCTTCACCCCTTTCTTCCTTAACCGTTTTCCCACCTTCCATGTTTACTCCCACTCCCTCAGTCCTGGTTGCAGAGGTCATCAAGTTTTACTTCCCCAAGATGGTGGAGATGCACAATTATGTCCCTGCCAACTCTCTCCAGCAGAAGCTCAGCAACTGGAGTCACCTGAACAGGTAGCAGAATGCCTGGGTGCAGGAGCAGGAGTCTCCAGCCCCTCACCCTGGATTCCTAGGAAGGGCTGCCCCAGCTCCTTCACTTCTTGTGGTCTTGGCTGCCCAGGCTGAGACTGTTGGTGGCAGGGTGGGGAGGGTCAAGACAGACAGAATCCTTCTGGTAACAAAATCAAGGAACTCTTTTATTGGGAAGGAGACAAGGAACTTAGGGACACCCAAGCCTGGGGGCTCAGATGCGGTGCCCTTTCATTCCCCCAGGGCTGCAGCACTGGAACTCAGGACTGCGACCACTGTTCCCCCTTCCTTCTTCCCCATCCCCGTCACTTCACCCCGCCCCCCGACCCAGTCCACTATCCCTTTGTCTCCCCACCAGGAAGGTACTGAACAAGCTGAACTTCTCGGTACCGGACGACGTGATGCGCAAGATCGCGCAGTGCGCCCCCGGCGTGGTGGAGCTGGTGCTCATCCCACTGAGGCAGCGCCTGGAGGAACGGCAGAGGCGCCGGAAGCAGGGCTCGGGCTCCTTACAGGTGCCACCCTGCTCGAACTTCTCCTACTGCTGGGGGGGTGGGGGGTGCTTCCCAGATAGCGGAAAGCCCCGCCTTGGCGATAAGTGTGGGGGAGGGGTGCCTGGCTAAAGAGAGCCTGGCTCAAGGACAGGGGAAAGAACATGGGGGCTCCCTTGGGAGCTTGAGCTCGGGCTCAATGGACCAGTGGAACAGTGGACCACGGGGGTTTTTTCAGGAGCTGGCTCCCCAGGATGGCAGAGGCTACATGGATGTGGGTAAGGTGGCTTTTCCATTTCCCCCTCCCAGGAGGAGCTTTCTTCCTGTCCTCCTTCCTAACGCTGAGGGTGGGAGGTGGGGGTGGAGGGGGAGCCGGAGAATGGGACTCCAGCATGGTCACTCCTCCACTTGCCTTACCTCAGGTTTATCCCAGAAGGCCCGAGGTGAAGGTGCCCCGGACCCCCAGGGAGGGGGGCAGCTCAGGTAAAGAAGCCGGCAGTTCCTGACTTCACCAGGCTTAGTGATCCCCCAATATAGGATGGAGGTGAGGGTGGGTGGGAGCAGGCTGTGCCTGGGAAGGTGGAGAGACAGGGAAGGGGAAGATGGGGAAGGTGGAAGGTACTGGAAGGTGAGGGTGAGGCCCGAGGTCCAGACCTCCGCTAAGCTGCTTCCCACCCCAGGGAGGCTCGGCCACCTGCACCCCGGCCTCCTGAGTATAGCCAGGCGCTGCAGGGCGACCCAAGCTTCGTCCTCCAGATCGCTGAAAAGGAACAGGAGCTATTGGCCTCGCAGGAGACAGTGCAGGTGAGGGCGCACTGGGAGGGCTGGGAAGGCTGTCGGGGGCGGGGGGGGGGCGGGTTGAGCTTGGGCTTGGGGGCCTGCAGAGGCGGGGGCAGGAGGGAGCAGGCTGCCAGACTTGACCTTTGCGCGGCGCGGCCCAGGTCCTGCAGATGAAGGTCAGACGCCTGGAGCACCTGCTCCAGCTTAAGAACGTGCGCATCGACGACCTCTCGAGGCGGCTCCAGCAAGCGGAGCGTAAACAGCGGTGAGGGGCAGCGGAGGCCACGCTGGGTCACCCCACTAGCCGCCAGAGCCCAGACGCCGCGACCGACCCACCCACCGACTGACAGACGATTGACGATTGGGAGGGCGGAGCCCGCTGCTTGTACAAGCCTCTTGGGGCGGGAGTCCCCCCCTCCCTTGGGATGGGGTAAGCCTGGGGCTGGTGGGACAGGACATTGGAGCAGAGGCCTGGGACTGAGCTGCCTCCTTCCACTCCATCCGAGTCAGGAGAATGGACCGCTTTCCAGAGCCCAGAAGGCACGTGCAGAGACCTGGCATACCCCCCAAAGCAGTATTCAACACCTGGGGCCCAGGCTTGCAGCTCCCAGCACTGGGCTTTGGGGGGCGGTCCCATGGCTCGGTCTGTACCCCCAGAACCGGGTCCCCAGCCAGCTCTGATGACAGCGGTGTCTTCATCCAGGCTAGTTCTCCATGCCCTCAGTCATGGGGGGAGCTGCCCTGGGCAGCCGAGGGGCTCCCTTGCCCTTCCTGGGAGCTCACCTGGGACCGAAATCGGGGCTGGAGACCACAGCAGCTGGAGAGGAAGGGGTGAGGAGTGGGGTCAGCCAGGAGCAGGGAGGACATGGGCCCAGCCGGGACCAATCGCCCTCCACCCATGGGGTACCATTGTAAGCATTTGGAGGATATGAGACAGGGCTGTCCCCATTAAAGTCACTGCTGTATTCTCTTTCCTGTGCCTGCCTTCTCTTTCTGCCTGGATCCCTGAGGGCAGAATGTTCCTACTCCGCTTGTCCTCCACCCTCCTTGGGTGAAGGAGCTTTGTGGACCCGGAGTGGGTCTTATCTTGTGGGTGGCTGGGCCCTCTGTGGCTACTGCTTGGTAGGTTGATGATATCACCAGGGGTCAGGTTTTGTGCACTATGACAGCCTGATTTCTAACCCTGGCCTTAGATTGGCCCCCAAACCCACCCTCACAGTATCCTCCAACCTTGTCCAAACCCAACCCCAAACCTAGGTTTCAGATTCTTCTGAACTGCAGCCACACACTCACCCTCAACTCTGCCTATGGATTAACCCCTAGCTCAGTCCTTTATATGACTTTTAGCCCTGCCCACAGACTGATCCCAAGTTGTATGGACTGAGGCCAAGCTTTTTTCCTATTCCTGATGTAGACACTATGGCCATAACTCTCATGATTTGCTAACTACTGATAATTTTGAATATTGGTAAATCCCAAGATCCAGCAATTCCATTCCCAGGCATGTACCCAGTATATACCCAGGGAAAACTTAAGCTCTTGTGCTTTGTGTTCTGGGAGATATGTTACAGCAGTGTTCACAGCAACACTCTTTGTAATAGCAAAAGAACTGAAAAGAACCTATACTTAGTTATCTATTACTGTGTAACAAATTACCACCAACTTAGTGCCTTAAAACAACACATGCTTATTATCTCATATTTTGTGTGTGTCAAGAGTTCAGGCATGGCTTAGCTGGGTCCTCTGCTTCAAGGTTTCTTACAAGACTGCAGTCAAGGTGTTGGCCAGAACTACAGTCTAATCTGAAAGCTCGATTGGGGAAGGATCCAAGCTCACTTGGTTGTTGACAGAATTCAGTTCCCTAGTGGGCTGTTGGACTGAGGGCTTCAATGTTGTACCGCTTGTTGGCTGGTGGCTGCTCTCACATTGCCATGCGGCCATCTCCATGTAGCTTACTTCATCAAAGCCAGCAAGGGAGAGAGTTGATAGAGTCTGCTAGCAAAAAGGGAGTTATAATCTTATCTAATGTAATCACAGAAGTGACCCCATCACATTTATTGTATTCTATTTTTTTTTTCTTTTTTGAGACAGAGTCTTGCTCTGTCACCCTGGGTAGAGTATAGTGGCATCATCATAGCTCACTGCAACCTCAAACTCCTGGGCTCAAGTGATCCTCCTGCGTCAGCCTCCCAGGTAGCTGGGACTACAGGCACGTGCCACCACACCCAGCTAATTTTTTCTATTTTTAGTAGAGACAGGGTCTTGCTGTTGCTCAGGCTGGTCTCAAACTCCCGACCTCAAGCAATCCTCCTTGAGTGCTAGGATTAGAGGCGTGAGCCACCTCACCCAGCCTGCTGTATTCTATTTATTAGAAGCAAGTCACAGGGTCCAGCCTACATTCAAGGAAAGGGGTACATGTGGGGGTGAGTACCAGGAGGCAGGATCACGGGGAGCGATTTTAGGAGCTGCCTACCACAAGGAGGAAAAAGTAATGAAAGGATAAAAATCTAGGAGAGTGGTTACCTCTGAGTAGAAGTGCAGGAGGGGGAGAGATATAAGAAGCACATAAGTAGGTGTAAGTTATTTGTAATGGTTTAGTTCTTGGGGCAGGTGGTGGGTTTATAGGTGTTCATGAGTGAGTCACAGACAAGTGGGGAGAAAGTGTCATGAATCAAGGATTATATTTAGTCCAATTTGATAATATTTAAAATATTCAATAATAAATGATAATACAAATTGGTGACTACTACTGACCTTGATCTGAACCCCACCCCTGCACTTAGCCTGGCCTTAGGTTAACACTGGCTCCAGCCTGACCCTCCACCTGCTCCAAACTAACCACTAGCGCTTCACACACATGGACCCTAGCTCTAGCATCATGATCTCTCCATAATCTGCAATAGGTCTCCAGAGTTCTGTTCTCTGAAACTTGCACCCATGTAACCACACCTGTAGGCTCTTGTATGTAAAGCTGGTAGGAAAGACTTGTGGAGGGGTGTGGGGGCCAGGAGGTGGGTGCAGGGTATAGTTCTGCCTTCCAGTAGCACAGTGGGTCCAGAATGTAGGTTTGGTGGCTGGGGTCACTACCTCACTGGTTGGCCTCCTCCATGGCAGAGGCTGGAAGCTCTTATTCCTTGAGGCCCCTACCCCTGGTATCCAGGTATGCCTGAGTTTGTGTCGACCCACAATCCTATCCCCAAATCCTACAAATCAAACCCTAAAAGCAAACTGTGAATTCTACTTAATGTTTTTGAGAGACTATGAAGTTGGATTTTATAACACATTATACTCTATAACTCTTCTTTAAACATTCCTCTTGTTCCCCAACCCTCCCCTCTTACTGCCACTGCCATATTCTTCCCCCTCTGCTCCCCACTCCCCTCTCCCCTTTCTGACCCACATCAAATCTGATTTTCTCTGGTTCATTCATTCATTCATTCATTCCTCAAATATTTATTGAGGACCTACTATGTTCTAAATGCCAAGAACACAAAAGTGAGTACAAAACATTTGTTCCCCAGTGTTCACAATCCTACAGGAGAGAAAGGCATGTCCAGCATATTTAACATTTTCTATTTAATTTTTTTTTTTTGAGACAGAGTTTCACTCTGTTCACCGGGCTAGAGTGCCGTGGTGTCAGCCTAGCTCACAGCCACCTCAAACTCCTGGGCTCAAGCGATCCTTCTGCCTCAGCCTCCAAAGTAGCTGGGACTACAGGCATGCGCAACCATGCCTGGCTAATTTTTTCTATATATTTTTAGTTGTCCAGTTAATTTCTTTCTATTTTTAGTAGTAAAGACAGGGTCTCACTCTTGCTCAGGCTGGTCTCAAACTCCTGAGCTCAAACGATCTGCCCGCCTCGGCCTCCCAGAGTGCTAGGATTACAGACGTGAGCCACCGCGCCCGGCCTCTGTTTAGTTTTTTGAATAGATAAAACACACACATAAAAAGTGAAAAGCCTCCTTGTTCCCTGCGTACCTTTAATAGGTAACCTCTATCTTTAGTTTTTGTGTATCCTTCCAGAATGTTTTTATGTGAATATAAGCAAACATGCACATTTGTTGTTAGCTTACCCCTCTTTTTTTTTTTTTTTAACATAAAGGGCAGCGTATTACACACTCTGTTCTGCATCTCGATTTTTTACTCAACGAGATCTCTTGTAGATCTCTGGTGATTAATTTTATGTGTCAATTTGACTGGGCCATAGGATGCCCAGATATTTGGTCCAACATTATTCTGTTTCTGTGAGAGTTTTGGGATGAGATCAGCATTTAAATCAGCAGATGAGAGCTTGTTTGGAGGTTCTAGCAGGGGAGCACACCTACTTGTATACCCTTGACCGAAGAACAGTCCTCCTCTATTGGGGAAAGTCGTCCTCTTCCATCAAGCTCACAGCTTCAGGAGGGATGCACATGGAGTGGTGAGGGAGGAAGGGGACACCCGCCTAGCCAGCCAGATCAGCTGAATCAACCCTGGCAATCAGTGGGGTGACAGATGTCGCAGCCAGATCATCCTCACATCTGAAATCAGCAGATGAGTAAAGCAGGTTGCCCTCACTAATGTGGTTGGGCCACATCCAATCATATGAAGGCCTGAATAGTACAAAAAGGGTGACCCTCTCCTGATTAAGAGAGAATTCTTATTGCCTTTGAACTGGGATATCAGCTTTTCTCCTGCCTTTGGACTCAAACTAACACATTGGCTCTTCCCGATTCTCAAACCTGCTGGCCTTTGGACTGGAACTACGCCGTTGACTCTCCAGGTTCCCAGGCCTTTGTACTCAGCCTAGAACTAAACCATTGGCCTTCCTGGGTCTTGCCAAGTCGCCCTGCAGATCTTGGGACTTTCCAGACTCCACGATCATGTGCCAATTTCTTATAATAAATCAATCTCTCCTTCTCCCCCTTTCACAATTCTGTTTCTCTGGAGAATCCTGACTAATACAAGATCTTTCCATATCAGTACATTAAAAATGTCCTCGGTTTTTTGTTTGTTTGTTTGTTTTTTAAGACAGTGTTTGACTCTATTGCCCAGGCTGGAGTGCAGTGGCATCTTCATAGCTTATTGCAGCCTCCAACTTCTGGGATCAAGTGATCCTCCTGCATTAGTCTCCTGAGTAGCTGGGACTACAGGTGCATGCCACCATGCCTGGAAAATTTTTAAATTTTTTTGTAGAGATGGGGTCTCACTATTACCCAGGCTGGTCTCAAACTTCTGGGCTCACGTGATCCTCCCACCTCAGCCTCCCAAAGTGCTAGGATTACAGGAG